TTTATTCTGGAGGAAGCTTTCAAAATTTAATAAATAAAATAAATAAAATAAATATTTATCTTATTTATTCTGGCAAAAGCTTTGAAATTTTAATAAATAAAATAAATAAAAAATATATAAAATATTTTTTCTGTTATTTATTCTGGCGGAAGCATTGAAAATTTAGTAAATAAAATAAATAAAACAAATATTTGTTTTATTTGTTTTATTTATTCTGGCAGAAGCTTTCAAAATTAAAAAATATAATATATAAAATAAATAAAATAAATATTTGTTTTATTTATGTTATTTATTCTGGCGGAAGCTTTGAAAATTCAATAAATAAAATAAATAAAATAAATATGTATTTATTTATTTTATGTAAACGGAAATACAGCAGGAGTCTTCAGCCGTCAAATAGTACAGAAAGGTCTCTCTAACATATATATATATGTACGATACCTTTTGCACAAGTCATCTCGACGTGTTCCTATCTTCTGGGAAGCAAAATGGCCCGCACATCGTCTGCATAAAACCCTTTCATATCTTACAATTTTAATATTTAACCATAAAGAAAGTAATTGCAGAGGTGGGGGTTGGCATATGTGGTTCTAAAATAAGGATATGCTACCACCAATACGTATGCTACCACCACTATGTGAAATCTTAGTTCTTGGTTTTGGGGAGGTCCTAGGACCTTTTAGTCCAAGTCTTAGGAGGTCCTAGGACCTTCCCAGAACCAAGAACCAAGATTGCACCAAGACTTTTTGGACAAATCTTGGTTCTTGGTTCTTGGTTCTGGGGAGGTCCTAGGACCTCTTAGTGCAAGTCTTAGGTAGTCCCATGACCTTGTATGACCTACTGTATTGGTGCCAAGATCCTCTGTAAAACGTAAGACCTTGCAACCGTAACGTCACAAGCTGATGATGACATCATACTACCAACTACCGTATATGATATAGTGCAGAATGAAAAAATAGAAATACCAACTTATCAACATAAAGTCATTGAAATTAAAAATGAATACGATGCTGATAATATCATTGAAGTTATTAAGGAAATAACCCAATGATGGTAAGAGGTGTTTTTCCAGGAACTGGTAAGAGCTATATTTGTCAGAAAATGGTAGATAAGGTTATAAGGTTATGTTTGTTTGTCCTACTAATAGATTACTTCAAGAATTTGAAGGAGACGCTTTAACATTGAATAATTTTTTTGGAATAAGTTTTGGTTAGAACCATTTGATTATTCAGGGTATGATGTAATAGTTTTTGATGAAGTTTACTTCAGTAGTTCAAGCACCTACTGGAGAATAAAACAATTTGTAGAAGAGACTAAAAGCAACAAAATAATAGTAGCAACAGGAGACACAAAGCAACTAAAACCTATTCAACCACTAACTAACATTCAAGAGTATGAAGTATATGCTGACCATATCATAAACAATATTTTTACAAATAGTATATTATTAAAAGAATGTAAGCGACTGAAAACAAAAGAGGATAAAGAGAAATTAAGCAATGTAAAGACTGATATTCCTGTAAATAAACTTCCTCAAAAAGGAAATTGAAAAATATTTCAGATATACTACGAGTATAAGTGGTTCAAGGCATAATATTCCATATTTGAATGATACTTGTAAGAATGTAGCAAGTGAAATTAGGAAACTGGAAAATAGGAAGGATGAATATGAAGTGGGAGAATTTTGAATATGTAGAGAATACACTAAAACCCCTACATCAGTGGTTAATGTAAATTTTAAATATAGAATAGTTCATATTGGAAAGGATGGGGTTATGACATTGACAAATACTAAAACTAATATACATCAATCCATTCAAGTTAAGGAGGTAAGGGAAAATTTCATTTTCGCCCATTGCACTACCTGCCATTCAGCCCAAGGTAGTAGTATAGATGGAGATATAACAATATTTGACTATAACCATTTTGACATTAGAAATTATAGGGAATTCTTATGGACTGCCATTACAAGAGCAAGAGATTTAAACAAGATAAAGATTTATAAATATAGTGATGGTGTAAATGATGAATTCAATTATAAATGTATGAAAAGAAAGTATGAAAGAAAAAATGAAAATTACAAGCAACAGGACAGAAAAGCAAAAAGAAAAAACACCAAAAGAAGGTTATGTAAATGTTAAGTGGTTTTTTGATAATATTACTAGCCAATGTAATTACTGTGGATGTGGGTTTCATACAATTATTAAAGGGAAAAATATAACAACAAATCTAACCGCCCAAAGGGTGAATAATGAATATACCCATACATTAAACCATATAATATCATACTGTGGTAGATGTAATATAAGTTGTGGAAAATATTAGTTAAAGAAATATTATGTAAAATAAATACTCTAACACTTTAATACAATAATTTTCAACAAACATGTTCTTATAATGTTGTTTTCTATCAACCTAACCTTGCCCGACAAACAACCACAGAAATTATAACATAATTTTTGGGGATGGAATCCAAGTGGGCAAGGTTAGGCTCCACATCATCAATCCAAAACAATGCACTCATCTGGTGGAATCCACATTGTCAACAAAGGCTAAAGGTAGGTACAGGAGGGGGGTTGCATTATTATATACTATTATATATTATTATATATTATTATATATTATTAAATATGATTATACATTATCATATATTTTTATATATTGATAAATATTACTGTATATTATTATATCTTACTATATATAATTATATATTATTATATATTATATAGTATTATATATTATGATATATTGTGATATATTATTACATATTATTAAATATTATTATATATTATTATATATTATTATATATTATTATATATTATTATTGTTGTTAGTATATATTATTCTAAATTACTATTTATTATTATATATTACTATACATTATTCTTTATTTTTATATGTTATTATTTATTATTATTTATTGTTAGATATTATTACTTATTATTATTTATTATTATTATATATTACTAAATATTACTAAATATTATTAAACATTATTATATATTATTATATAGTATTATATATTATTATATATTCTTAGATATTATTATATATTATTAAATATTATGATATATTATTATGTATTATTATATATTATTATGTATTGTTAAATATTATTATATATTATTGTATATTATATATTATTACGCATATATATTTTACATTATTGCGTATTATTGTGTATTAGTGTGTATTATATATTATTATATATCATGATATATTGTTTTTTATCTTTATATATATATTATAATAAAATAGACTACATATTTAACATAATGTTATAAAAATTATATATAGATTATTGTTATTATTATTATTACTACTACTATTGTACGCATGTTTGATTGATATACATACATACCTATGTGTGCATATGTAGTATGTAAGGGTACATACATATTGTATATATATATAATATCATATACTAATATATACATATATATTGCAACATGTACTGGACATGTATAGTATAAAGTTTTATTAAAAAAAAAACATACTTGCAATTGTATGTAGATGTACCAGCCGCCAGCCACAAAATGTTGTCTGAAACAATGTGGGATTGAATCTCGGGTCAGTATACCATGGGCCAGAAAAGGTATCCTGCGGCTGATTGGCGGCCAGGCTGGGTCAACAGTTTTCAAGAGTTTTCTCACAAGGTGGTGCCCCCTCCAGTTATAAATGGGTTATAAGCCCATTCCAGCAAAAAGCATAGTGAAATTGGAGTTTTTCCCCACCTGCCAGGTGAGGGTTGTTAGATTTTATCAGAGTTGTTCTTCTCCTCCTCGGCTAGCTGTCCTCCTTCTCCTCCTCCTTCTCCTCCTCCTCCGCCTCCTCCTCTAGTTTCTCCTCGGCCATGTCTGCATCAACTTCCACCTCCACTTCCGCCTTGCCAACTCTTCGCCAAGCTCTTTGCCAATTCTCTTCGCCAAGCTCTTTGCCAACTTCCCAGCTCAGTGTGCACCGCTGGACCTCAACCTGGGACCTTCCCAGCTCAGTGTGCACCGCTGGACCTCAACCTGGGATCTGCCCAGCTCAGTGTGCACCGCTGGACCTCAACCTGGGACCTGCCCAGCTCAGTGTGCACCGCTGGACCTCAACCGGGGACCTGCCCAGCTCAGTGC